TGTTGAAAGTATCTAGCAATATCATGAGCATCTCATGCAAGTAAAGTCTTGCTGAAGAGTATTTAAGAATGGCTAGAACATACATCAACAAGAAAATGTTAGAAAATCAGGATGGCTTCAGAAGAGCTGTGGCATGAAGGATGCCTTTGGTGATATTATATACCTTGGACTGAAAGTGGAGAATACCAGAAAACTGTTAATTTTTGTTTTATTGCTTATGCAAAAGAATTTTACTGAGTGGATCATAACCAATGATAGCTAACACTTAGAAGAGTGTGAATCTGAGAACACTTACTTGCATCCATGGAAAACCTATACATAGATCAAAAAGCTGTTATCTGAACTGAACAGTGTAACATTGAATGGTTTTCTGATATATATATATATAGATAGATATAGATATAGATAAATGATAGATAGATAGATAGATAGATAGATATAGATATATAGATTTTTTAAGTCCATGTCTGATTTATTGCACTCTGAGGGACCAGTATTTGAGATGCGTTAAGAACTGTTAAGAATTCTTAAGACTACAGGGCTACGGGCACAGTACACACTATAGTTGTGTTGTGTTTGTTTCTTGTTTTGTACCATTGAATTTGATCTGACTGGCACAGGAGGATATTGTCCTTCCTTCTCCAGTGGAGCATCTGGTAAATTTGAACCACACACCTTCAGGATTGCAGCACAGCTTTTTGCAACTAGGCCACCAGAGCTCCATATTGTGTAGTTTTAAATCATAACAAGTGTGTCAAAGTTGTATTGTCTCTTCATACTACTTCAATCTATGTACTGAGTAAAATCTTTCAAGAAACTGAACAACATGAAAAATAATGTGGCAACAGGATGGTAGTAAGGCTAATCAGCAAGTTGTATCATTTAAATGATACTATCTTGCTTGCTGAGAGTGTAGTAGATTTAACACACTTGCTGCAGAACAAAGGCTGAAACATTCAATGTAGATAATATCTCCACATCACAAAAACAAAAGTCCTCACACTGAAACAATAGGCAACATCACGACAGATAAAACATTGAAGTTGTCAATGATTTCATTTTACTTCGATTCCCAATCAACTATCATGGTCAAAAGACGATTTACATTGGGAAAATCAACCGTCATGGACCTCTTCAAAGTTCTAAAGAGTAAGGAGTTGACTTTAAACAATATAGTGTGCTGGGCCCAAGTCATGGTCTTTTCTTCCTGCACATGTGAAAGTTGGAGAATGAATAAGAATTACAGACGACTAATCAATGCCTTTGAATTAAGGTGTTGTTAAAGAGTACTGAATATCCATCCCATGGACCTCCAAAAGAAGAAATAAGTCTTTCTTAGAGGAAATTAATAAAAAGGTCTTTAGAGTCAGGTATGTTGAAACTTTGTTTCACAAATTTGAACATTTTGTCAGAAAGCACCAGTTCTTAGAAAAATGACATCATCCTGGAAAAGCTAAAGGATACATTTAAAGAAATTAAGAACCTCAGCAAAATGGATAGACATAGTGACTGCAACATTGATTTTGATTTTATCAGAAATCATGAATGGCATAGGCTAGAGCAAGGTTCAAACAGATTGTTCAAAGGGTCATTATGAGTATTAGTCAAACCAATGGCACCTAACAACAATAGCTACTACTTCATGTGTTTGATAGTTCTGTTGGCCTAGTAGAAAGAAGCTGTGTGGCATCCTGACGGCATGCAGTTCAAGGCCACCAGCAACTCTGTGAAAGAATGATGGATAATCTCCTCCCATGTAGTTAAATGCCTCTGAAAACCCGCCAAGGGTCTGTCATGGGTCAATTCCAACTCGAGGGTACCCACAATAACAACATTCCACCACTAGGGAGAGCCAAGACAAGAACAGATAGATGCATACTCATGTTTATTACATCATTATTCCCAGTAGCAAAGAGATGTAAACAAGCCAAGTGACATCAATGAATGAATGGATAGAGAAACTATGGCAAATTCACACAGTGAAGTATAACATTGAAAACAAAAGATTTCATGAAACGTCCTAAAATATGTCTGAGACTAGAGGACGTTATGCTGAGTTAACTACTTTAGTATAAAAAGGACAAATAGATAAAACTACAATTATAAAAGCCTCAAGAATGGTTTATAAACAAAGATGATCAATTTAATATGGTTACCAGGGAGGAGCTAAGAGAGAGTAGAAAATTAGTTGATAGATGACAAACATTTATTCAGATAGATGAACAGAAGGCCAGTGTGCAATGAAGAGATGATCAGGCATTGTCTGTGTTGTAAATGATGTTGGAAAAGAGTGTGCATCAATGTCTGTTTGGGGAAAAAATAGAAAAATCAAATGAGTAGTCAAAAAACCAAAGGGAGTATTTTGGGGGAGGAAATCTGCTGAACAATACCTCTTTAAAGTGTTAAAAATATCTCATTAAGCTAATAAAATCAGTATTTGTGACTATTGTATTAAAAAAGTTGTAAAAATATAGATGTCATTTTGAATCATAAAATGAGTCTTATCCAAGCTATTGCATATTCAGTTGGCTCATATGCCTTCTAATACTAAGCAACTCATGAAAAATACCGCAGAAGAATTGATGCTCAGACACAGCTGAGAAAGTGTGACAAAGTGAAGAAAGTGTGAGACTAGGCAGAGTTTTGTTCTGTTGTACATAGGGTTACTATCACTTGGAATAGAACTAATCACAACTAACAAAAACAACATAGGGTTCATATTAGGAAGCATACGGAAATATCATACGATTGAATTACACTGGAGGCAAAAAAAAAGTTATAAAATAATGTGTAGAAACTTCAAGTACCTAATGCGTACCTGGTAAGAGAGAAGTCTGTGAAGATGTTACAAAATTAATATAAACATTATTGTTCAGATCATACAAACTCCGTGAAAGTACAAATGCAAGTTAGAAATAAAAGGAAAGACTTGATTTATTATTAAAAACACATAACACTAGCAGAATACCTAAAACAATATAAAACAAAATGAGAGCAACCAAACAAATTTAACAACAACAAAACATCCCAACTAAGTAACTAATTCATTTTTTAAGTCAGTGCCAATAATCACTTACAACGAACCAGATCCACTGCTAAAGAAGCTATTGGGGATTCAGTAGTAAACTGAGAATTTCTCTTTGTCTTGATCCTAGCATAGAATCCTAACTTTTCAATAAATATAATTTATAAATATATTTACAAATTAAATTACTATTTCCTATTTGGAAATTATTAACATTTCCACAATCAGGAAAAGGGCATATGTCAGGAAATTAAGAAAAAAAGAAATCAACAGTTTTGATTATAGACATGATTAATATTATATATTTATTGATTGTGGAAATTTAAGTGTGACCAATCAGCTTATCAGAGACTCCACTGTTCAACTATAATTTTATCAATTTTCCAGAGTAGGAGAGTCGAGGAAAATGAAAAGCCAGAGTCAGTAATTTTTGTGTAGATATCTGCAAAGTCTTTTTATGTGGTAATCCCTTGAAATTTGTGATGCTGTAAGAAAATAGGGTTTATATCCCAGAAATTAAAATAATAGAATTAAAATGTCTATTTATTAATGAAATATGTGAATGAAGCTGAACTATAGGTAGTATAAATCATTCATATCTTTCAATGATATGCTTTCCAAACTTAAATTATTTTGCAAAACTAATTTTACTCAAAGTTATTAATATAAGATTTCATAAAATATTTCTGTTTCAAATTATCTTCTCATGTACTAAAAGCCAGAAAACCATATATGTGTTTTCATAAAATGCAACATTTATATAAAGCAAGGTGTGTGCCTAGGTGTATATTCACATTTATTTGTAGATACCAAGAGATATAGCGTACTAACATAAGATGCATAAATAAATTTAGAATGAATATTTAAATGACTATTATCCATGCTTAGGAATTTCTACATAGTGAAACTATTAACACACTAGGATACTAACCAGAGAAATAAATAATGGGAAAAGAATATATAATATAGACAAATAATTTACTCATTCAGTAAATATTGTTAACAATGGCTTTTAAGCACTAGCCATAGAAATGAAAAAAAAAATCCAAAATGAAGTCATTAAAAAAATAATAAATTAGTTGTTTAATATGCACTGATTGCCATTGTGTCAGAACTGATGATGAATCAAGTTTTAGAGGATATAAATCACAAGGGAGATTACCTACATTCTCTTTTGGAGAAAATTTGATTGGCAACTTTGGTTGCCTGTGGGCTGGCAAAGCAACTCCCTGCCCACGAAAGCCTCCAGAGCTGTTTAACATTTAACAGGCTGTGTTTGTCTTTGTTATGTGGAGTCCAGTCACTTGTACAGCAGCTTTGAACCCTGATCTATCCTGTGCCAACCTCACTGTGCTGAAGAATTATTTGTAAAATGGAAGTAAAATGAAAACAGACTAAAGTTAATCTGGAAAGTAGTAATATAGTGGATAGGAGTATTGATATTTTAAATGAGGTGTTTATGAATAAAGCTCATTGAGAAGGTGAGGTGATATTTGAGCAAATATTGAAGAGTATGGAAATCAAATTTTTGGGGGGGTGCATGAAGTCCACATCTCATTTAATATTCCGAGTGTCATTGCTGTTGTTGTTATTGTGTGCCGTAGGGTCGGAACCAACCAGAGCTGACCCTCCAGCAGATTTTCAAAAGTAATAAATTGCACAGGAGGATATTGACCATCCTTCTTCTGCCAAGCCTCTGGTGGATTCAATCTGCTTGCCTTTGGGATTGCAACACAGCTTCTTAGCAGTAAGCCACTAGAGCTCTCTATGAATATAGATTGATTAAAATAATTTTATAGAACATATTCACTTTTGAAGCTCATTAAGAGTTTTTTGATTGTGATTATGAAATATACAGCACTAACTCTCATTAGGTAGAAATAATGTTTGAAATCTACACATTTTTCTTTGTTTTACCTTTGTTATTCAGTTCTTATTTGTCTATTTATTTATAGATAAAACAAAGAAATTTGGGATGGAATTAGAGAATCAAACTTATAGCAGTGACTTTATTCTCTTGGGACTATTCTCATCTTCCCAAACAAGTCTGGTGTTATTCTCCCTTACGTGCATCATTTTTATTATGACTATAACAGAAAATACAGTCATGATCTTTCTTATCCGTGGCACCTTGCGACTCCATACTCCAATGTATTTCTTGCTCAGCCATCTCTCTTTCATGGATATCTTGCATATTTCTAATATTGTCCCTAAAATGGTTGCTGACTATCTATCAGGCAATAAAACAATTTCATTTGCAGGTTGTGGCATCCAGATATTTCTGTCCCTCACTCTTCTGGGTGGTGAGTGTCTCCTCCTGGCAGCAATGTCCTATGATCGCTACATAGCCATCTGTCATCCTTTGCGTTACCCCATTCTTATGAATGAGCTTGTCAGTGTTCTCATGGCTGGAGGGTCCTGGCTTGTGGGGACCGTCAATTCCACAGTTCACACAGCTTATGCCCTCCACTTCCCCTTCTGTGGCCCAAGGGCCATTGATCACTTTTTCTGTGAAGTCCCAGCCATGTTGAAACTTTCCTGTGTAGACACATCACACTATGAAAAAGGTGTTTATGTAAGTGGTATCATTTTCTTGGTCATCCCTTTTTCTATGATCTTTGCTTCTTATGTCCAAGTTCTCCTTACCGTCCTTCAAATGAAGTCGTCAGAAGCACGAAGAAAGTCATTTTCCACTTGTTCCTTCCACATGATTGTAGTTATGATGTACTATGGGCCATTTATTTTCACATATATGAGACCCAAATCCTACCACACTCCAGGACAGGATAAGTTCTTGGCAGTATTCTACACTATCCTCACACCTGCACTCAATCCTATCATCTACAGCTTTAGAAATAAAGATGTTCTGACAGCAATGAAAAATATACTTGAAAATAACTTTCTGCCTAACAGATAAATACAAATTATGCACAAACTGCTATTATTTACTGCCTTCATACAAAAATCTGTAAAATATTCCTTGCTAATTTTTTTTCTTAGAAGAAAATTGAAATTTTACTATTATTTGATTGCAAAACTCTATGTATGGAACAAAGTGGTTATTTAAAACTTGTGTATTAAAGTTATTGTATTCATTGAGTTTATAAATATATGCATGTAGCAATACATTATATTGTTTAATTGATTATAATCAGACAAAATACGGGAATTAAAAATTAAGCTTTTAAAAACTCGAAAATTGACAATGTAATCATTTGTATAATTTATCTTTTTTGTCCATCCAGAAATACACATTATTTAACAAACACGTACACATTTGTCTGTATTTTTTATAAAACTAGGTGAATTTCCAAGACTATAAATCACAGGGAAGGTATCTTTCTCCTGCACTGCTGCTGTTGGATTCAAATCATAGTAGATGCATGGTAATTATAGTCTAAAATTTGCAAACAGTTTTTAAAATTCACAGTTCCACTTAAAAATCTTCATTAATCATGGTCTGAATAATTTTATCACTTTAGTTGAAAGATTTATTAATATGTATTATTAAATGATCACAAATACAAATTCAGACATACATACAAATATATATGCACTATATACCTTAATTATGTAATATTAAGTTATTCATTCTTTGCTAGTTTACAAAAATCCCATCTTAGACAGAATATTCTGAAAAATATCTACAATTATACTATAGCTCAAAGGCATCTATTTTTCTTCCGTCATCCTTATTAATGTCCAGCTCTCAGATATGTAGAAAATTATTAGACAGACCAAGGCTTGAATCAGACCCAATTTAGTCCTCAAACTGACATCATTACTCCTCAATAATTTAAATCCCTAATGCAAACATTCCCAAGTATAATATGTCTTATACATATTAACATAAATATATATATATATGCTGTTGTTGTTGTTGTTGTTGTTATGTGCTGTCGAGTCGCCTGCAACTCATAGCGACCCTCTGTACAACAGTCCTAAGCTCTGCCCTAATCCTGTGCCAATCTCATTATTTCTGACACACCTACCCCCATTACCCCAGTCACTGAATCAATCCATCCCATTGAGGATTGTCCTCTTCTGCCCTGTCCCTCCACCCTCCCAATCATGATGTCCCTCTCCAAGGACTGGTCCCTCCTTGCAGCATGTCCAGAGTATGTCAGATGAAGCTTCAGAACCCTTGCCTCCAAGTTGCAGTACAGCTTCACCCTTTCCAGGACAAATCTGTTCTTTTTTTTTAGCAGTCCATTGTATATTCAATACTCTTCTCCAGCACCACAGCTCAAAGGCATCAATTTTCCTTTTATCATCCCTAGTCATTGTCCAGATCTCTGATGCATAGAAAGTGACTGCAAAGACCATGGCATGACTCAGGCACACCTTAGTCTCCAGACTGACATTGTCGCACTTCAGTACTTTAGAAAGGTCTCTAACCACAGACTTCCCATGTCAATAAATCTTTTAATTTCCTGGTTACTGGTGCCAAGAGTGTTGACTGTGGAGACAAGCAAACCAAAACTGTAAACAATCTAAATCTCTTCACCATCCATCATGATGCTGCCAATCAGCCCAGTGGTGACAATCTTTGTTTTCTTCATATTGAGCCTCAATACATACTGAAGAGTGCAGTCCCTGATCTTCCACAGCAATCCCTTCAGGTCCTCCTCAGTTTCAGCAAGCAGGGTTGTGTCATCTGCATTACGCAGATTGTTGATGATTCTTCCTCCAATCCTGATGCCACATTTTTCCTCATAGAGCCCAGAATCCCAGTTAATCTGGATAATCTGTTCTGCATAAAAATTGAAAAGGTATGAAGATAGATAGGATACAGCCCTGACTTACACTCTTTCCAATTTTGAACCATGCATTGTTTCCTGCTCTGTTCTGACGACTTTCTCCTGGTCTAAGTATAGGTTTTGCAATAGCACAATCAAGTGTATAGCTCAGAATATTATTCTAAATTTTTCTAGAAATTTATCCTTAAAAAATCACAAGAAAATAATATTAAAAATTATTTAAATAAACCAATATCAAAGACTACAAAATCTTTTAATGAACTATTTTATGCCAAGCTGCCAAATGTTTTATATTTGATACATTAAAAACATGTTATATCAAAAATGATATTATATAACTGTTTTAAAAGTGAGAATATATTACTTTTGTTTTCAAAGTTTAAAATCTGTTTAAAAATTAAAAAAAAAAAAAAATATATATATATATATTCCAGGCATATTGTTAGGAGGTGCTATTCCTTGGAGAAGGACATGATACTGAGAAGGGTGGAGAGTTAGTTAAAGAGAGGAAGACCCTCAACCAGGTGCATTGACACTGTGACTGGTGCAATGGGCTCAAGTGTGTCAGGAAGTGTGAGGATGGCACAGGATAGAACATGATTCAGGCCTGTTGTTCATAAAGTCACTATGAGTCATACTCAGCTTAATAACATCTAACAACAACAACCTAAATACCTCTGCTAGAAATATATAGGAAAACAGAAATAAGGTGCAAATGGAGATTTGTTCATCAGTGATCATAGCATCCTTATTCACAATAACAAAAACGTGAAAACAGCTCAAGTGTTTATCAACAAACAAGTGGATTGAGAAACTGTGGTAAATTTATAGGATGGAATACTATGAAGCACTGTGGAGCAATGATTTTGAAAAATACCATATAACATGAGAGAGGCTAGAGAACATTATACTGATTAAAGCAACTCAAATGCATAAGAACAAATAATGCATAAGATCATTAATGTAAACCAGAAGGGTAACTAGTGAGATGTGTAGGTATACAAAGAAGGAAGGGGAAAGGACAAGACAAGTGAGGATGCAGAGATCAGGACATCATCAGGTCAAAGAGTTTAGTGGGTGGAAGCAGGGAGTAGGAAAAAAATGCACATGAATTAAACATAATAGAAAATAAAAATCATTCTAAATGTTACAAAAGAATTTGTGAATTATTGATTATCTAAAATGTAAACTAATAACCTGGAGTAGCTAAATTTTTTTCAATCATTGTTGATGATGCAAATATTAATTAATGTTACAGATTAAAAATGACATCTCATATGTTCCTATATATCCATCTATCTTGAAGGACGAAATAATTTTATTTAACACTAATAAAAGTCTTGTTAGCATAATACATAAAGTTATTGATGAGGGACGTCAATATTCAGCAAAGATCTTAATGTTAATATTAACCAATTACATTCTGTACATTTTAAAGTCATTGCAAGTCACAGTATACCGATAGTTTATCTAACACTACCATGAAATCAAAGAACAATGAAAGTGTAAATAATAATAATAAATTTTACTTGTCAGCAAGAAAATTCAATCCTCAGTTGCACAGTATAGAAGCTCAGAATCAGATTTCAACAAAATATAAATTCTCAAACTAATTAAACATAAATATAAGCTAACAAATAACCTATATGTTTTTATTGCTGTTTTTGTTTTATGAGGTCCAACTCGAGTGACCATATGAAGAACAGACCTGAACTTTACATATTCTGAACCTTGAACACAATCTCTGATGTGGTTGAGCTCTTTGTTAAAAGTCACTGTGTCAATCTATCTTGCTGAGGATCTTGTTCTCTTTCTTTTACTCTTTACTTTTCTCAGTATGTATTTTTCCAAGAGCTGGAACATGCTCAAAAGGAGTGTGACATGAAATTTCATGATTCTTGCCTCTAAGAAACTTTCTCGTTTCACCTCCTCTAGGACAGATTTGTCTGTTCTTTTGGAAGTTTGTGGGATATTCTGCAGTATTCTGTAATACCACAAATCACAGGGATTAATTCTTCGTCTGTCATCATAATTCATTAATTTTTTTTCATGGATCTTAGCTGAAAATAGATAATACGATAAGATGTTTACTTGTGCTTTATTGATTATGGAAAAACATTTAAATAAGTAGATCAATTCAAATTATGTATAATATTGAGAAGAATGAGGATCCCAGAACACTTAGTTGTGTCCATGCAAGACTCATATATAGACCAAGAAGTCAATGCTCAAACAGAACAATGAGCGCCCATGTGGTTTTAAAACTAGGAAAGGTGTATATTAGCATTGTATCCTTGATTCAGACTTATCCACTCTCTACGCTAAGCAAATCATTCAAGAAGCTGTCCTATGTGATAAAGAATGTGGCATCAATATGCTGTTGAAACAATCTTGCTTGCAGATTAAAAAAGAGGACTACCAGAAGGACAAATAGATCTGTCATGAAAAGGGTGAAACCAAGCTGTTCCTTGAAGGAAAGGATTTTGAAGCTTCATATATTGGGCACATGGCCAGGAGGAGCATGTGAAAAAAAGCTTTGAAAAAGCTTTGTCTAACTTAATTTGGACATGTTCTTAGAAGAAGCTGTTCCTTGGAGACGGACGTCAAGCTTGGAAGGGTAGAGGGACAGCACAAGAAAGGAAGATCATGGATGAGGTAGATTGACTCATTGACTGAAGAAATGGCATTAGGTCTGTTAGAGACGATGAGATTGGTTCAGGATAGGGCAGCGTTCCGAGCTAATCTGTAGGGTGGCTATGGGCAGAATATTGAATGATTCAAGAAACATTAAAAGTAGATGGAAGGAGTATACAGAGATATTGTACCTTAAAGAGGTGGCTGACACAGAAGGATTTCAAGAAACAACATATAATCAAGAGGCAATGGGACTGAAAAAGGAAATTCAGGCTGCTCTGAAGGACTTGAAAAAAAATAAATAAAGTCCCAGGAAATGAGGAATATCAATTGACATATTTCAGCAAATATGCATCCTGCATGTGCTAACCAAGTTGTGCCAAGAAATCTGAAGGACAACTACTTGGCCAACTGTCCTAAAGAGATCTACATTCTCCTTCCAAAAACGGTAACCTGACAAAGTGTGAAAATTATCAAACAATATCACTAGTATCCCACACTAGCAAAATCCTGCTGAAGATTT